CTTACCTCAAAATGAGGTGCCGAACTGATGAAGCTACAAAACAGGACAAATTGCATGTCAAGCAGTGTACGCATCATGCGAGGGACAGGGCTAAGCAATCTTGTAGCCAACAGCTCAGATCTAAGCTACGCAGTTGCCTTATCCCATTGTATGTAGTGATGGACAGTTCAGAAACTTAACAGGAAGACAGGATCCACAAATATCCCTGTCCTCAATAATGGGGAAACCCAGCACACAAGTATAAAAGTCAAGGCTGAAATATTTGCACTTATCTTAAGCCAGAAATGTAGAGTGATGGTCCATCTTGGCTGTCTCATGAGGTCCCTAGCATCACAGAAACCAATCTTCAACCAATTCCTCTCCATGTAATGTCAAGGACCAACTGTAGGTAATGGATACTGCAAAAGCTAGTAGACGTCTGATAATGGTACAGCTCCAGAGCTAGCTGTGTCCCTAGCCAAGCTGTTCCTGTGTAGCTACAGCATTGGCATCTATCTGTGTGGAAGAAAAATTTTACATCGCAAGGGTAGTTGGGAATTTAGGCCAAGACAGAAATTACATTGCAAGGGTAGATGGGAATTTAGGCCAAGACAGAAAAGGCAGCCTTGGGAAAAACTGATGGCATAGAGAAAGAAGTTTAATTAGTTAGCATGCGGGATTTTAACGAGCTTGGTAGAAGTCGGGAGGTAGTTACTCAGACTGTGTTATCACTATGTGCATATTATCTTAGCTAGAGTTAGAGAAGGATCTTTTGATATATTGTCACTATACCAAGGTTTTAGGCTGAATTAGAGATGTCCCTTGTATCCCTGTGGAGCCTAGTTACTGATAAGCTAGAGCTTCAATCAAACTGTATATCACTCCCTATGCTAGCTGCATGCCGAAGGTCATTTGAAGAAGTAATTATTAAGGTATCTGTAAGGCAGCATTCCTGTTACCTCGAGCAGCGTCTGTTTTCTTTAAACTTACAATGAATAAATCGACAAACACAAGATGTCACGGGAACACCCTGCTCTGAAGTTAATGGTAGAAAGGAGATTATTATACTCTGTATTAGTAGAGTCGGGTGCCGGTGGAGATCGACACTCACTCTCCTTGGTATCAAGTAAGAAAAGCTCCCAAGCTTCGAACGGGAGCTGGAGTCAAGTCTCATTATTAGTTAAGTAGAAATAAAAATTTCTATGACAATTTGGCGTAGTCGGCAGGATCCCACAGAATGGGATTCAGACGGAATCACGCTGTCGGTGGGAGCGAGGAATCCCAGAGCACAGGGGAATCCGAGTCGACAGTTAGTAGCACTAGCGACTTCCGAAAACAGCCTAGCCGAAAAGCTAAGGATAAGACAAGGGGGGAAGAGGAGGTTTTACAGGCTCCCCGTATTATGATAGGAGATGTTCCTATACTAAAACCCTGGACTCCAGCAGAAGCCCGAGCCATGGTGTCTGAAGCCCCAGATCCCTTAAAGAGACCCAATGCTTTTCATAACTGGCTGCTACAAATATGTACAATCTACTCTCCCCTCTCCCCGGGGATGTGCAGATGTTACTGAGATGTGCAAATGGAAATTCGTGGTCATCTTTAAAAGAGGGATTCACTATTCCCCCCGGTGAAAACGGAGATTGGAGACCAAACGATGACCAACTTGCAATCGGGAATGAGTCTCTGTCTCACTGGCTAGAGAATAGAGGGAAGGAAGCTATAATGAGAGGAGCGCAAAGACATAGCGATATAGGGGAAGTTGCCTGCTGCCTGCAGCAAAAAGGGGAGCCTGTCCCAGATTTTATAGCCAGGTATAGAAGTAAATGGGAAGAGCATGCAGGTATTCCCCTGGAGAATGGACCACTGGCAATCCAAACTTAACTAAACCGTATGCCACCCCGCCAGGCGCAGGCTTACAAATTGGCAAACCTAAATTGGCAGAATCAAAAATGGGAGAAGTGGTCACTTCATTAATGAAAATGGACAGGCAGGGCCTTTTCGTTTCCCAGGAGGAGAGCAAGCCCGACACGATGGGACAGTTTTATCAAGAAAGGAGGGTATCCCCAGACCAATAGAGGTGGAGGGGGCAAAAGGAGATAAAAATGGTCTCGAGATAAATCCTAAGACCCGTGTAACAATTGTGGAATGAAGGGTCACTGGGCCCGGGAATGTAGATCAGGGCGAGGCCAGGACATGAGGGGAGGGGAGATGACCCCCCTTCTCTTTTAGTCACCCGAATCCATCAGCATAGAGGTGCCGCGAGGGGAGGGTGGTACAGGCGGCCATCATCAGACTATCCAAAACGATGAGGGAGGAGCCTATGACTACTATTAAATTGGGAAATAAATATTTGGACTGTCTGATCGATACTGGTGCCACCATGTCCTCTGTACCCCCTTCTGCGGACGTCCTAGAAAGTGGCCGATAATTGAAACCGTGGGGATAGCTGGCGTCCCGTGGGCGGAACTTCTTTCCCTGCTATCTCAATGGAAAATAAAGGAAAGAGATGTCACGGATACGTTTATTATTTCTAAGACAGACCCACTTCCCCTACTGGGCCAACAAACTCTTTGTAAACTGGGAGCCACATTACATTGTACGACCGAAGTTATATACATTGGAGCTCCCCCAAATTAGGGTTCCCCAAATGTTGAAATTGATGAGTGAGCCAAAATTAGGCGATACAGAGCCTATATTATACTGTTGGCAGCTGGATGGCAACCCCTATACCCCAGGACTCCAGCAAATGCAGACTGCTCTGCAGAATTTCGCGAGTCCCTGTGCCCAGAATTTGTGTTTTTTAATCAGCACCAGTCGGGAAAAGAAGAGGGTCCACTGCACAGCCTACCACACTGCACAGGCTGACCCACCTTACAATAAATTGATACACCCTTATCTGAACAGAAAAGAAGAGTTGAAAACGACACAGTACATTTACTTTGGTTCCAAAGGCTTTGGGGTCCTTATGGAACTAGTAGAGGATCGGGAAGAAAGGTTCAAAATGGGAGATTCCTCAATGCCCCACTTTACAGTAGCCATGAAACCACCAGCGAAACCTAGAGATATCGGGATGATGATAAAACGCATGATAAGCCGATACTAACATCATCTGCACTATAGCCCTGTCCATGTTGGGACAAGGAACACGCATCGAGTTCTTTAACGACAGGGAGGGGAAGATTGCTATACACCCCAAGGTCAGGGGAACCATTTTTGAAAGGCAGTAATCACCAAAAGAGGATCCTCTTCTCCTCCCTACGGTCCTAGCACAGGTGCCGGTAAATCTATGGGCACAGCACAAAATTCATGTGGGAAAGGTCCAAACAGGGAGCATAGGGTTACCCTGCAGAAGAATGTGGTGAGATAGTAGGAACTGCAGATGCTGGAGAATCCGAGACAACAAGGTGCAGGGCTGGATGAACACAGCAGGCCAAGCAGCATCATAGGAGCAGAGAGGCTGACGTTTCGGGCCTAGACCCTTCATCAGAAAAGAATGTGGTGTTTCCGTGTGTTAAACAGTACCGTTTAACCGCTGAAGCAGAGGACGGCATCGCCCCGGTGATAGGTTCGCTTCTGCAACAAGGGGTAATAATGAAGACAGAGTCCATGTAACACCCCTATACTGCCCATTCCGAAGTCAGGTAGAAAAAAATGAGTGGCGGTTTGTGCAGGACTTAATGGCCATTAACAAAGTAGTGATCCCCATTGCGCCGCTGGTGCCCGATACCAATATTATACTGATGTTTATTCCTGCGGAGGCCAGCGCCTTTACGGTAGTCGACCTATATTCAGCATTCTTCTCTATTCCCTTACACAAAGACAGCCAGTATCTGTTTGCATTTACTTATAAAAACCAGCAGTATACATGGACACGTCTGCCCAAGGGTGTACTGAAAGCCCAGCAGTTTATGCCGCAGATGTTAAACATGACCTCGCCGAGCGGCACTTGTCTGAATATTCCACTATCATTCAACACGTGGATGATATTCTGCTCACCTCCACCACAGGCCCTCAGTGCCTGGCTGACTCCTTAACCCTTCTCACACATCTAGCCAACTGGGGACATAGAGTGACCCTGGAGAAAGTGCAATTTTGCCAGGAGACCGTACAGTATTTAGGGTTTCACATCGGGAAAGGGCAGAGAAGACTGGGGGAGGATCGTATAAGGGCCATTGAGCAGGTTCCGACCCCTAAGACAAAAGAAGGAGATCCTCTCTTTCCTGGGCATGGTGGGATACTGTCGGCAGTGGATCCCTGAGTATAGGGAGCGAGACGCTGTGTTGCGAGCCGCCACACTGCAACACGAACCGGCTGTAGTTGAATGGACAGCTGACAGGGATAAGGCATTTAAGGAGTTAAAAAACGCACTGATCAGTGCACCAGCGTTAGGCCTCCCGAACTATAGCCAGCCATTCCAACTATACGTGAACGAATCGCAAGGATTCGCCATGTGTCAGGAACACGGGGGAGGCAAGCGTCTAGTGGCTTGTTATTCCGTGACGCTCCCCGTGGTCGTGATGGGCATGCCAACCTATCTACAGGTGGTCGCTGTTACTGCCGTAATGGTGGAAAAATCTATCACCATTGTGTTGGATCATCCGTGTACGGTGAGAGTTCCCCACGCAGTTCTGCTGTTACCGAACTCTGCTGTAACTCAGCATTTTACAACTGCCCGACGAACTGGCTATGAGGTGATTCTTCTCTCTCGCTCCAACTACAAATACGAGAGGTCCCCGGCCATCAATCCTGCCACTTTTATCCCTTTGCCAACTCCTGAAGGCATCGAACATGATTGCCTACTTACTGTCGAAGCTACCACTACGCAGCGGCCAGATTTGCTGAGCACGCCCATTACAAACCCTGATTTAAACCTGTTTACAGAGGGTTCCTTGCACAGCCCAAGAGACAACTTGCTGTTAGCTGGGTATGCCATAGTCACCCGACACGAAGTGATGGAGACGTATGCCCTGCCTGAAGGAACCTTGGCACAAGCTGCTGAACTGTTCGCAGTCACCCAAGCCTGCCTTCTGGCTAAGGACAAAACAGTAAACATTTATAATGAGAGATAGTAGGAACTGCAGATACTGGAGAATCCGAGACAACAAGGTGCAGGGCTGGATGAACACAGCAGGCCAAGCAGCATCATAGGAGCAGAGAGGCTGACGTTTCGGGCCTAGACCCTTCTCACGCTATGCCTTCAGGGTAGTGCATGACTTTGGGCAACTGTGGAAGAACAGGGGATTTATCAGCTCATCGGTGAAACTGATTAAGCATGCCATCCTGGTACTGAATCTTTTAGAAGCCATACAGCTGCCACAGGTTGTATTAAATGCAAGGCACATACCTCTGCAGGGGATGACGGTTCTAAGGGGAATAGGTTCGCTGACGAAACAGAGAAGGCAGTGACTGTTGGACAGTCTCCATTGTTGCAGACACCACGGGTTGAATCGGGAGGTAGGGAGCTCCCTGTGTGTATTGAAGCGACTCGGTTGGAAGAGGCTCAGAGGCTCGCCCCACGCCAGGAGCAGAGCACCTGGCACAAGGCAGGATGCTATCAATCTGGTTCCATATGGCGCCACCTGGACGGTCGCGTGGTGTGCCCCCTTAGTTTATTTTTGCCCCTGGCTCGCCTGGCCCATGGCCAGGCTCACATGGGCAAAGGAGGGATGCAGCATGTTATCACCCAACAATGGTATGCCCCTGGAATAACAGTAACCATTGAGAAAGTAGCACAGACTTGTTTGGTATGCCAGCAGAATAATAAGGAAAAACAGCTGCTACATTTGACAACTTACCCCAACCAGAATTGTCTTTTGAAAATTTGCAAATCGACTTTGTGCACATGCCTGCTGAGAAGGGGTTTAAGTAATAGTTGACATGTTCTCCAGATGGGTGGAGGCCTATCCAGCGAGGAGGGATGATGCTAGAACTGTGATAAATATATTAATGAAAGAAATCATGCCTAGATTCAGTATTCCAGTGGGAATAAATCGTGACAGAGGGGCCCATTTCACCAACAAACTGGTACAAGGGTTAAAGGAAGCCTGAGGATTTCAGTGGAAATTGCACATCCCCTACCAGCCCCAGTCCTCGGGTATAGTGGAAAGAATAAACGGAGAAATAAAAACGGCCCTAACAAAGGTCTGCCAACAAAATGGCCTCAAGTGGCCAGAAGCCCTACCCTTAGTACCGTACACTATGCGAAATCAGAAGAATAGAAAAACGGGCCTCACCCCTCATGAGATTTTAATGGGACAACCTATGACAGCAGGAACTAGGCCTCCCATGACCCCAGAAAGGGTAGCTTTAATATGGAATGATGAGAAAACATTAAAGTATGTGCAGACGTTGTGTCAGGAAGCAGAGAAGTTACATGAAAGAGTCCGATAAGCCCAAGCACCGCTAAAGGAAGGTAATGTGCATCCATTTAAGCCGGGAGATGGGATATACATGAAATCCATGAATAAAGACTCTTTTTTCCCCCAGGTGGAAAGGCCCTTACCTGGTGCTGCTAACGACCCGCATGGCGGTTAAAGTGAAGGAAAAACCCGACTGGATCCACGCCACTAGGTACAAGTTGCACTACGACGAAAAAGGAGAATAACGTCCTCTCGAAAAGAAAACATCACTGAGAATGAAAGGACACAACATGCGAAGAAGTAAAATCCTGACTGTGGCAATTGGACTGATATATGTTTTCGGACTGCACAGAGGAAAGGCGATAAACACGTTTCTGCGTATGCCTCATGAGTATGCTGATAGAAGTAGTGCCTCTGCTTGCTGGGTATGCACCCTCGTCCCTCACCATGGAGGGGAAGGGGGCATCCCCTTAAGGTCAATCTCTTTTAGCCATAGTGACATATACGCCTGGAGACGTTTTAAAAATCATACATGAAAGGAGGGAGGCATCAGAACCGGGGATTGCTGGATAGGAAACCCGCCCAAAGGCAGTAAGATATGGGAATCCTTGTTACCTCCTTGTGTGAACAGATCACAAGAACTCACCTTTGATGGCTGGTACATATGTCAGAACATCTAGCCCCCCCCGCAGCTTAACCGTGAGGAGGACTGGAATAGGCAGCGAGTGCATATGTCAGCGAGACCACCCTAATGCTACCTTCATGGGCACCAGCCGCTGCGAACCTAACAACACCCTGAACCACACACTGCTGTGGGCCTTGAATGGAACACATTGGGTATGCGGGGTAAAGGCCTACCCTTGGCTCCCGATGTGGTGGACAGGCTGTTGTTATCTAGCATATGTCGTACCCCAGATCTGACACTTTGAGTCTGTAACTCAACATCCCTGGGTACACGGCATAGTCAATTCTGGCACTTATGTACAAAGGAGAGCTAAAACCGAAGCAGGGAGGTTTGGGATAATAGCTTTTCCCTTTTACGGAGCTGGAAAAGCAGCCAGTTAATAAATATGGTCTCTGCATTAGAGAAATTAGCAAACGAAACAGCAGAAGGTTTCAGGGAGACACAGCAAGCTCTATCTGCAGTTACAGTAGAATTAGTGGTGGTTAGGACTGTGGCACTGCAGAATAGGATGGCATTGGATTTTGTATTGGCTGAAAAGGGGGGTACCTGTGCAATTATAGGACAAAAGTACTGCACTTATATTCCCGACGAATCAGAAAACGTTACCAACCTGGCTGATCACATTAGAAAATCGGCCGAGAAAATTAAGAAGAGATCAGTTTCACAATTATAATTCCCCTGAGGTTGGTGGATGTTCGGTAACTGGTGGTGTAATATTTAACATGGTGGTTATTTGCGTAGTAGCTGCTAGATTTATTTGCACCCTGTTACCCCCGATATGAGGACACCGACCTATGGTGCCAATGTACCCTGGAACAGTGATCGAGAGTTTTGATGACGTTTGTTATGATGAGGAGGAATGTTTAAAAATGCGTCCTTACCCAGAGGGATATGAGCCTCCTTTTCACCAAGAGAGAGATGTAAAATTTTAAGTGTTGATCTGAAAAGATCAACAAGGAGGGAACTGTGGAAGAAGAATTTTACATCGCAAGGGTAGATGGAATTTAGTCCAAGACAGAAATTACATTGCAAGGGTAGATGGGAATTTAGGCCAAGACAGAAAAGGCAGCCTTGGGAGAAACTGATGGCATAGAGAAAGAAGTTTAATTAGTTAGCATGCGGGATTTTAACGAGCTTGGTAGAAGTCGGGAGGTAGTTACTCAGACTGTGTTATCACTATGTGCATATTATCTTAGCTAGAGTTAGAGAAGGATCTTTTGATATATTGTCACTATACCAAGGTTTTAGGCTGAATTAGAGATGTCCCTTGCATCCCTGTGGAGCCTAGTTACTGATAAGCTAGAGCTTCAATCAAACTGTGTATCACTCCCTATGCTAGCTGCATGCCGAAGGTCATTTGAAGAAGTAATTATTAAGGTATCTGTAAGACAGCATTCCTGTTACCTCGAGCAGCGTCTGTTTTCTTTAAACTTACAATGAATGAATCGACAAACACAAGATGTCACGGGAACACCCTGCTCTGAAGTTAATGGTAGAAAGGAGATTGTTATACTCTATATTAGCAGAGTCGGGTGCTGGTGGAGATCGACACTCACTCTCCTTGGTACCAAGTAAGAAAATAAACTGCTTCGAACAGGAGCTGGAGTCAAGTCTCATTATTAGTTAAGTAGAAATAAAAATTTCTACGACAATCTGACAATGCAGAAAGTTGGTCAAGTATGTCCTATCCACAAAGAGCGGGACAAATCCAACTTGGCCAATTACCACCCCATCAGTCTATTCTTGATTGTCAGTAAAGTGATGGAAGGTGTCATCAACTTGCTCAGCAATAACTTATCACCAATTGGGGTCTGCCAGGGCCACTCAAGTTCTCATTATAGCCTTGGTTTAAACAGAACTCCAGAGAATTTGCTGCCCATCCCTAATTGCCCCTGAACTGAGTGGTTTACTCAGGTCATTTCAGAGGGCAGTTAAGAGTCAACTGCATTGCTGAGAGTCTGGTGTCAGATGTAGGCCAGACCAGGTAAGGATAGCAGATTTCCTTCTCTTAAGGGCACCAACTGCTGTGTGTAGGATTACGAACCAGCGTCTGATCCTCTGGGTTATCAGCACGGTGACATTGCTTCCATGCCCCCAGTCCCCCTACCTCCCGCAATATTATGACCTTCGTAGATCCTGCCAGGAGGGACATCCCAGAGTGACGTCTCAACATCCCAGAGGAAGAGTCACATCAGACTTAAAACGTTAACTCATAGAATCTGTACAGTGTGTAAAAGTGGTCATTCAGCCCATCGAGTCTGTGCCAGCCTTCCAAAGAAGGCATAGACCCTTCATCAGAAAAAATCAGATTTTTTTTCTGATGAAGGGTCTAGGCCCGAAACGTCAGCCTTCCTGCTCCTATGATGCTGCTTGGCCTGCTGTGTTCATCCAGCTCTACACCTTGTTATCTCAGATTTTCCAGCATCTGCAGTTCCTACTATCTCTATTTCAGTTACTTTTCTGTTTTGTTCTTTGTTCAGCTGTCTGCTTCTTTTCCCGTCTCAGCATGGGTTACTTGATGAAGGGTACCTGCTCCTTTAAGACGTAGTGGTGAGGACTTATGCCTTTAAGGGGTGAAAAATGGCCTGCGCCTTTAAGAGGGGAAGTCAGCTGATCGCGGTCAGGTGATCTCAATGTAACAGACATGGCCGTGTCAGTTACATTGTTACTTTGTTGGTTAGTTACAGTCTACCCAGAACTGGCGAGAGGCTCTAGCTCCTATTCCCATAGAAAGGTAAAGGTGGGACCTTAGGGAAGGGAGGGTTTGGATGTCCTGGTGAGCTGAGAAGGAGAAGTTTTTATTTAAGTTCTCAGCATTTCCTTGCCTGCTAAGTCTCTCATTCTCATCTCCTTTTGGTTTCACTTTATGTCTCACTTCTCTGAATGGGAAAAGAAAATGCTCCCATCTCTTTAACTTCTGTTTCTGCTATGTGCAGTTTAGGGGCTTGTTGGAAGGGTGTGCGGATTTACTTGCTTAGGAGGAGAGGCCGTTCGGCCTGTGGCATCAAGCTAGCCCCGTGTGAAGCAGCACCTTGCCTGCTGCCGAGTCCCAGCAACTCCCTCGCTCGTCTGTCCCCTCTAGCTCCGTGCCTGGGGAGTTATCCATTGAGTTGCTTCAAGCAAGCTGTGTTCCCTTATTTAGCTATCTCCTCTTCTTCCCCCACCCCAAGAGAAGGGTTGGCCTCAGTACCCCTTGGCTGATGGGTGCCCCCTCCTTGTCTGCTACCTGGTGTGCCTCCCTACTGGGTAGGTGTGCCCTTTGGTTGTGGGGGGGGGGAGTGAAATTGGCACAGGGCCTGGGAGTGTGCTGGGAGTTTTACTGGGAGTGTGCTGGTAATCACAAGTTGTGACTGTGTGTTTGTGAGAGAGAGAGAGAGAGATGAGTATGGCACAGAAGGTTATTTTCCCAGTTCATTAGTCATACAGCATGTAAACAGACCCTTCAGTCCAACTCATCCATGCTGGCCAGATGTCCTGAATTAATCTAGTCCCATTTGTCAGCATTTGGCCCATGTCCTTCTAAGCCCTTCCTGTTCATGTCCCCATCCAGATGCCTTTTAAATGTTATAGTTGTACCAGCCTCCACCACTTCCTCTGGCAGCTCATTCCATGTACACACCACCCTCTGTGTGGAAAAAGTTGCCCCTTGGGTCCCTTTTAAATTTTTCCCCTCTCTCCAATTATGATGAGTACAAGGGATCCATCCCATTTGGTTTACTGTTGTGTGAAATTAAGTTTGGGATGGGGCAGGGGTTAAGTATGACTGAGGGGAGAGTGACTGGATTCCCATTGAAGGGTGTCAGACTCTTTTAAATGCATTCTTTCATGGGTTTGGGCATTACTTGCTAGACTGGCATCTTTTTCCCCATTCCTAATTGGGCAGCACGGTGGCTCAGTGGTTAGCACTGCTGCCTCGCAGCATGAGGGACCCAGGTTTGATTCCACCCTCGGGTGACTGTGTGAAGTTTGCATGTTCTGTCAGAGGTTTCATGTCTGTGTGGGTTTCCTCCGGGTGCTCGGATTTCCTCTCGCAGTCTAAAGATGTGTAGGTTTGGCCGTGCTAAACTGTCCAGTAGTGCCCAGGGATGTGCAGGTTAGGGTGGATTAGCCGTGGGAAATGCAGGGGGTGGGTCTTCGAAGGATACAGTTAGGAAGGTTGACGTGGACTGAATGACCTACTTCCACGCTCTGCGGATTCTATGATTCATTTGTGGGACAAGGTTGGCTGGACCAGCATTTATCACCCATCCCTAATTAAGAGTCAACCACATTGCTGTGGGTCCAGAGTCACATGTAGGCCAGACCAGGAAAGGATAGCAGCTTCCTTCCTTGAAGGGCATTAGTAAACCTTTTGGGCTTTTTTGACAATGTTCATCATTAGACTCTTAATTCCAGGTTTTTTTAATTATTGAAATCAAGCTCCACCGTCTGCCCTGGCAGGATTCGAACCTGGGTCCCCAGAACAATACTTGGCTCCCTGGTTTAACAGACCCAGTGATAATACTGCTAGGCCCCCTGATGTAGACGAGGGAGCTGATAAAGCATTAGATCTGTGCGACATCTCCCCTCCAGTTTTTGACAGCTCCCCAAGTGTTGTGTGAAACTGTGCAGTCACTGTGTTGGGGGGGAAAATGCAGCAGCCAACTCCCTGCACAGCAAGATCCCACAAATGGAACAATGCTATAATGACGTGGCATGACGTTTTTATTCTTTTGAGGGGTATACGTTGTTCCCAGGTTGCTGGAGAAGCTCCCCCTTCACCTAGAGAGTAGGAAAAGGGCCCTTTTGTCTCACTGCAGCCCCAGGGCTAGGAGCCTAGCCCCTCCTGCCGGAGGAAGAGAGAAAGCATAAAGGCAAGCTTTCTTTATTGAAGTTCTTTGCATCTGGTGTGGCTACGAGTGGGGTAGGTATATAGGAGACTTTTTTAATCAGTGAAGGAAGCAAAGTTTTTGATGTTTAAGGTAGGAAAATGGAATTGAGAATGATCAGATTGAAGGGGGAGGGCAGACTTGATGGACCAAATGGCCTAAATCTGTTCTTGGATTTTCCCCAATGAAGGGGAGGGGTCAAAGGTTGCTGGGGTATGGTTGAAGTGGAGGCAAGGCCCCAATCTGATTGGTGCTGACTCGATTGGGCAGTGGAGCCAGATTTGACAAGTCACAGTGTCCTGCCAATTTCGGATGAGCTGGGGTTCTGCTGGCCCAATCAGGGGAAAGAGGGTCATCCAAAAGGAAACGGCACAGATTGTCGGGCCGAGTGGCCTGCGTTGCGAAATACGTGCGTCGACCTCAGAAATGAGGAAGTCGAGGATTGACTAACCACTGACTCTAGAATGGGAGATGGTTTGGTCGTGTCAGCTGCCCAGGGCCATCTTCCATCACTGATCCCACCCTCCCAATCCAGCTGCTGTTTGTAGGAAACGCAAAAACACAACCCCCCCCCCCCAGCACCCCCCCCCCCCCACTTCTGGTTACTCCAGGTCGACTTTCTGTTCCATCTTGGTTAGAAATGAAAAGATAGAGTGCCAGTAGGTTTAGGAGGTGATGGCCCAGTGGTATTATCTCTGGACTGTTAATCCAGAGACCCAGGCCCGCCTCCCTAACCTGTTCTTCCTCCCACCTATCTCCTCCTCCCACCTCAAGCCGCACCCCCATCTCCTACCTACTAACCTCATCCCGCCCCCTTGACCTGTCCGTCCTCCCTGGACTGACCTATCTCCTCCCTACCTCCCCACCTACGCTCACCTTTACTGGCTCCATCCCCGCCTCTTTGATCTGTCTGTCTCCTCTCCACCCATCTTCTCCTCTATCCATCTTCTATCTGCCTCCCCCTCTCTCCCTATTTATTTCAGAACCCCCTTCCCCTCCCCCATTTCTGATGAAGGATCTAGGCCCGAAACGTCAGCCTTCCTGCTCCTCTGATGCTGCTTGGCCTCCTGTGTTCATCCAGCTATACACCTTGTTATCTCAGATTCTCCAGCATCTGCAGTTCCTACTATCTCTAATGTTCTGGTGATCTGGGTTCAAATCCCACCATGGCAGATGAATCAGAAATCTGGAATTCCAGAAATCTAATGATGGATCTATTACAGATTGTTGGAAAAACTCCTCTGGTTCCCTCATGTCCTTTAGGGAAGGAAACTGCCATCCTTACCTGGAACAAAAACAGAAGTTGCTGGAAAAGCTCAGCAGGTCTGGCAGCATCTGTGAAGGAAAAAGCAGAGTTAACGTTTCGGGTCCGGTGACCCTCCCTCGGAACAGAATCCTTACCTGGTCTGGCCTACGTGTGACTCCAGACCCACAGCAATGTGGTTGACTCTGAATTGCCTGGTGGGCAATAAATGCAGACCCACCCCCCTCATTTTGTTGAATGAAATTTGTTTTTAGAAATAGGCCACTTGGCCCCTTCAGCCTGCTTGCCCGTTGTATGCAATCTTGGCTGATCTGATTCCCCTCGCACCTGGTAAACCTTTTGCCCCCACCTCCCTTTTACTTATTTGGAATCTGTCAACCTGTGCCTTAATGGCCCTGTGCGGGGTGTTTGGGCACCACATGGTCTGCAATGGATCAGGGAGCGGCACGGTGGCTCAGTGGTTAGCTCTGCTGCCTCAGCGCCGGGGACCCGGGTTCGATTCCACCCTCGGGGGCAACTGTCTGTGTGGAGTTTGCATAATCTCGTCATGTCTGCTTGGGTTTCCTCCCACAGTCCAAATGTGCAGGTTGGGGTGGATTGGCCATGCTAAATTGCCCCATTGCATTCAGGGATGTGTAGATTAGGTGGCGGATAGGTCTGGGTGGTATGTCTGAGGGTCGGTGTGGACTTGTTGGGCTGAAGGGCCTGTTTCCACACTGTAGGTATGACGCCTCACCCACGCGCCAATTACAGATGGGCAAGGGAAGTTGGTGCAGCAGACAGTATCCAAACTCCAGGAACAAATATGTTGGAATCTGAGCATGATATCGATTTCTGTGTCTGTGTCTGTGTCTCTCTCTCTCTGTGTCAGGTTTCTTTTGAATATAACCCTGGGAGAAGTACCCAGATGGCTGACCCCTCTCTGAATGTCCTGCACGTGCGGGCGGTTGGTCCTGATGACACCATCCACTACCTGTGGAGCACCCTGGGGGCGCCCACAGTCCTCCTGGTGTACACTAGCAGTTCCAACAGCTCCCTGCACATCAACTGGACCCGCCTGGAGCAGCGGGATCCCTCGCATGCTGTGCGGATCGAGCCGGCCGAGGCAGTCGTCTACTCCACCGCTGTTGTTTTCTCCCGGGTGAGTTAGTGGGGCGCCAGGCGAATGCAGGCCTGTCGAGTGCGAAATTGCGGCGATTGTTTAGTGCACATCAAGCTCCCACACAGTGGGTGATGCGTTGTCTCCCTCTTGGTTTACCTTTGAGAACTGCGCTCGCGATAGAATGTGACCTGAGCATGTAAAAGGGTCTCGCGCTCTGTCTTACTTCGGGTCACTTGAGGCTTGATGCACTACAATGCTCTGTTGTAAGGTAAAAGCTTGACATCAGTCCGGACACTTATGTGCCTGAACAATCTGTCAGATCCTTCAATACCACAATATCCAGTTGTGTGTGTTGTGGAAGGTGAGGTACCCATTCCTGCATGAGGTCAAACGTTTTCTTAGAGACAAGTTGGCAACCATGTTGACGGAGGAGAAATGTGTGCCACACAAATGCCAGGCAATGCCCTTCACCAGTAAGAGACAATCGAACTGTTACCATCACTGAATAAGCCCCAATTTCAACGTACTGGGGGTTACCATTGACAGAGAATCTAGCCTTTGCCTCCTTGACATTCAATGGTATTGCCATCACTGAATCCCCCATTATCAACGTCCTGGGGGTGACCAGTGTCTACCATCTACATCACTGCAGTGACTTACCAAGGCCCCTTAGCCAGCACCTTCCAAACCCACGACCATTTCTATCCAGAAGGACAAGGGCAGCAGATACATGAGAATACCAAGCTGCCCCTCACCGTCCCGACTTGGGAACATATTGGCTGTTCCTTTGCTGTCGCTGGGTCAAAATCCAGCGACAGGGGCATTGTGGGTCAACCCATGGCAGGTGGACTGCAGCGGTTCAAGAAGGCAGCTCGTCCCCACCGTCTGAAGGGGGCAACTAGGGACAGGGCAGTAAGTGCTGGGCCCAGCCAGTGACTCCCACATTGCACAAATAAATATAGAAGAAAAAATGTGGGTCCCAGGACAGTGGGGAGTGCTGAATTCCAATAGCCACCTCTGCTTAACATTCCCCAGGCCAAGTAGCTTGGGGAGGTGCTCCCAGACCAATGACCCAATGTGAGACTGAGGGATGTGGGATCAATGGTGAGAGAAGGCAAGTTTGAGCTGCCTTATTTACACTGTCTACTCGAAGACGATAACACAGGAGCCCTGCTAAGTGTTTGCTCAGTTATCAGAGGCAATGTTGACTGACTGGGCCGTAGAAATGAGATTTGTTGTGACTGTTGGAACAAATTTCAGGGACTCTGAACAGGGCCGGCTGGTGCCTGGAACGCTGTTGAACAAACAGTTTGAGGCCGAGTGAATTATTGACATGCACTCTGCAACTGTGCTGGGCATCAGACCCCTCTCTATACCCTCCTCCGGCCCCCTACGCCCCCCCCCCCCCCCTGTTCCCCCCCCCCCCCCCCCCCCCCCCCGCCCCCTGTCTGAGTCCCGTCCCCGCCCCCCCCCCCCCCTCCCCATCTCTGTTACCTTCTCCGGCACCACCTCCACCCCCTCCCCACCTCTTCCTAAATCTGCTGCCTTTGCCCCGTCTCTGCCCTCGGGTGACTCCACACCCCACAGCAATGGTGCTTGCTCTCATCCCTTGGCCTACCACGCCCCCAACCCCAAACAAGTGGCTTTCCTTGAGTCCATCTTTAGCTATGACTGTGCCTTCTGTCTGTCCCTTCTGCCAGCCCAGTGCCAATGGTGCAGACACCATATTCTCTGCTCCTTTCAGAGGTGTCACACCCCCATTTCCCCACCCCCCCCAACGCAATGCCCATGGTGATTTCCAATCCCATGATTCCTGCGGCTTGGCACATTTCTAGGCACCAGGCCTTTGCCCGGGAGGTGGAATTCTGAGGTCGGGTGAGCATGGGTTTGGTTTGGCGGGTGTTGGGGGCGATCGGCGAGCCCACCTTTCGGCCCTGTTTGATTTCTGGCTATTTGCCTCCGCACCTTGCAGGTGTTAGAGTACGATGACGTCAACAACGTGGCCAACATCTCCCAGGTGCCGGTGGACAGCCTCTACCCAGCGTACCAGCTTGAGGAGCTCACCTGGGACAACGTCAATGCCACCCTGAACCGCAGCCGGCTGACGGCACAGCTCCGCGGCCGCAACGCCACCAGCCAGCTATTCGGCAACGGGAGCTTCACCTTCCGGGTACGAGCGCAGGAGCTGCTCCTCCTCAGAAATTAATGCTGGCTCCCCCTCAGCACCTTCCTGCAGTGGGCCCTACAGTCAAGGCCCAGGCTTGCTTTACCCTGTATCTAACCCCATGCTGTCCCTGTCCTAGGGGTGTTTGGGGGGTGGGGGGACAGTGTACAGGGAGCTTTACTCTGTATCTAACCCCGTGCTGTCCCTGTCCTGGGAGTGTTTGATGGGGCAGGGACAGCGCAGCGGGAGCTTTACCCTGTATCTAACCCTGTCCTTTATTTTCCAACGTTCCCAGATCTCTGCCTTTGAAGGCACAAGTCGGGATTTGGAGTTGCCTTGCCTCCTGCACACGGCCAACAGCTCGAAGTTGGAGTTCCTCGTCGATGGTGTCGCGCCGCGTGGGAACCGCTCCCGCTTCACCCTGGAGCTGTTTGTCCTGGAGGATGCGGGGATGAGGCGAGAGTTGAGGGCGGTTCGGAGTATCGATGATGAATACACCCCGAGCATCTTCCAGGTAGCCGTCAGTCCGAGCCCCCACCTCCTCATCTTCTGCCGTGGAACGGCGATGCTGCCCGTAGTGGAATAGCACCCCCCCCACTCCCCCCAAACCTTCTGTTAATTGGAGCCCCTTCTGGTTTCCAGTCCGTTCGCGCCAGTCTACGTGACACCGCGCCAGGTCTAAATCTGCCCCGCTGCGGGTACTGAATGACTACGCCGTTTTCCTTTTCATTTCCCTAGCGCCTATCTCTCCGTGTGTCAGAGCGCTGCGCGTCCGCCCGGCCAGCTGTGGCAGTTCTTGCCTTCGCTCAACTTGTGCAGAGCAAGCTCCGGTGTTGGGGGGGGTGGGTGGGGTCATCGTTTGAAGTCAAGGGGTAATTATTGCCCTGGATTTGCCCTGCCCTTTAGGTCACCCTCGGCCAGCTCGGGAGGGAGGTGAGGTCCTGGGCATTGGCATCTGCCAGGGTGGTGCTCCTGGGAGGACGGTGGTGGTGGTGGTTCCCAGGACCACGTTGGCCAACTCTAACCTCTCTTTTTTTTTCTTAAATTTATTTTTCTCCTCGCCAACTTTCCTTTCCCAGATGGATCAGCTGGTAGCGGTAAGAGAGAACCGGAGTACTATCACCAGCTTCCTCCAGTGGAAACCGGTTGCTTACGTCTCCCAGGAGCCCTCGCTGGCGAGCTCGGTGCCCGCTCGCCAGAACAGCCTGAAACCAGACCGCAACCACAGCCTGCCGGCCTTCAGCATTGCCTACGCTTTCTTCGGTGCCCAAGTGCCCACCGCGGCTGCAGTGAACATTTCCTTCGGTGGCCCTGGCGGGGAGTTCTACAATGTCAGGAGGCACATCAGCTGGTGAGCCGCTGGAAAGTGGGAGGGAGGGAGGGAGGCATGGAACGAGATGGGGGTGGGGGGATGCGGAGCAGAGTGTAGGTCCCGCTGAATCTTTGGCTCGATTCTGAAGAAGGGTCCCGACCCGAAACGTCAGCTTTCCTGCTCCTCTGATGCGTTCCTCCAGCTCCGCGCTTTGTTATCTCCGGATTTGGAGATCCTTGCCTTCAGGGGGTGGGGAAGCTGGTGTGGACGGAGGGCAGCTTTCTGGGCTGTGTTCTGAGCTGGAGAGCCATTTTGTTTCTCAATCGGGCGCTGAATCTCTGTGACCCGCGCACGCCCTGTATCTCTGACCTGCGCGCCGTGTCTCTGTCTGTCTTGCGCCAACCCTCAGCCGCTTACTCCTCGCCCCCTCCCCCCTCCAAGTGATGCGTATTTTGCAGTTAACCTCTGACCTTCCTTCCATGGGCAGGTCAGCTCTGATTGGACACGGAGAGCCCCCCCAGGAGCGATTCTCTGTTCTGGTGATGGCGATTATGTCTGTGGGGTTGGGACTGCCCATCTTGCTGCTGGTGTGGGGTGCAATGACAGTCTGGATTGTACGTCGGAAACGAACCCCATCCCTTTACCAGCCTGTGAACTAGACTCTTGAGAACCTGATGGACCACGCCTACTTCTGCACTGACCAGTCTCCTGCCTCCTCCAGTGCATCCCTGGTCCAGGAGGCATATTGTTCCACCTTTTAAGCTGTGGGATTCAGACCTGCAGATGTTTTTTTTTAAACCTCATGTTTACAATGTTTGAACTGTTACTGCTTTACTCTAGCCACTTTGCAGTGAGGGACAGTGTAGAGGAGGCTTTACTCTGTATCTAACCCTGTGCTGTCCCTATCCTGGGAGGGCTTGATTGTGGGGGTGTGGGGGGTTGGTGGGATTGTCAGTGTAGAGGGAGTTTTACTCTGTACCTAACCAGAGGATGCCCCTGTCCTGAGGGTGTTTGGGGGTGGGGAACAGCATAGAGGGAGCTTTACTCTGTTTCTAACCCCGTGCTGTCCCTGTCCTAGGGGTGGGACTGGAGAGCAGCAGCGACAGCAATGTTTGCTGAGATTAATTTGCACAGTAAACCACAGAGATGAGATTTTATTCCTTGTGTGGGATTTGAGTTACAGACTGAAATCTTCAAAGCAGACCCATGATGCGTTTTAAAACAAAATCTGAGCGACTAAGCGAACAAAAAGGGGGTCAGACAGCACCTCATGGAATGTCGGCAGCCATTATGGAATGTTTTGCAGTTTCTGTTCAAAAGGCACAGTTTTTTGTTTTTAATAACTAAAACAGTTTGGAGCCCTGTAGCTTATGCAATGGACGTGGCCTCGTTTTTTAAACATTTTCCCCTTAGGGGACAGGGATTTCCAGTCGAGAATCTCTGAGGGCGCCCTCCACCTGGGGGCTGCAGCTGCACAGCAAGATCCCAAAGTAGGGGGAGGAAAACCAGCCACAAGATCTTGTTTTTGTTTTAAAACTAATGCTGGTTGAGAGGTCAATATTGGCCTCAGGACACTGGGGGAGGACGTCTGCATCCTTGTCTCCGCTCCCCCCCCCAGCAAAACTTCCTTCCAATCGAGGCCGTTGGTTCTTTTACATCCGCCAAAGTGGGGTGGGGGTGGAGGGGGTCAAGACTAGTCCCTTCAGTCTAATGCCTCGGCCTGGGAAGCAGGGTCGTGTGACTCTGCCTGAGACTAGGCTCCCACTACCCCACCCCAGGGTGGGTGTGGGGTCTTCCCCGCGAGGCCTCGTGTAGCCTAATAGCCCTGCCTGATCTCGGTTTGACTGCGTGGTGGCCACGCCAGGCGTGGCTGTGTCAGAAAACGAGCCACTTGCGTTTTTGAGCAAATTTTATTACTTACCAAATACAAACGTAACACCACACATACATTCTGTATATTTAAAAAAACATTTTTACAAGTGCTGGCCTTGGTAAGAAATAATGTTTAGTTGTCAGGAGCGAAAGCTCAAAATGTGCCCCACAGTGTAATTGCCCCTTTGGGAGTGCAATTGTTATTCAAATCCTTTTTTAAAAAAAATCTGGGGTGGAGATAAACCTTGACATACAATCCCCCCCCCCCCCCCCCCCCAAAAAAAAACCAGTTTTCTTTAAAAAAAGATCAAGTTGTCTTGTTAACTGTCAAGGGAAATGGCAAACCAGTTCACCCCTCGACACCTCCCACCTTTTCCAATACCTCACCCCTCTTTCTGTGACCCAGGATCAAGTGGAGTTGACCTTTTGAAGGCTTCTGGTCGTAGACTTTGTCGGCATGTCAGAGGTGGCCAAGTCGATAACAGCCAGATCATGTAGGCCCCATCCCAGGGTCCAGTTTGTGCGTGAATAGGGTGCGGGCAGGAGAGAGTTAAGTTGACTTGCGGTTTTAGCCGAGCTGAGGATGGAAGTGGCAAATCGAGCGCAACATCTCTGAACGGATTGATTAGAAAAATAGGTTAAATAAAAAGAAGTAATGGGAGAAGGGCCCTCTTGTGGTGCAGTGTCTCTGCCCTTGGACCAGGAAGCCTAACTTTAAGTCCCACCTCTACCAGAGATGGTGTAATAACATCTCTGAACAGGTTGGTTAGGAAAATAGGTTAAAGTAAAAAAGTATTATAAATGGTGATGGGAGAAGGGCCCTCTTGGGGTGCAGTGGTAGTGTCCCTACCCCTGAACACGGGTGTGGGTTCAAGTCCCACTTGCTCCAGACATGTGTAATATCATCTCTAAACATCTAGAAAAGTAGATAAATTTTTAAAAATGTAATGGGATTAGAAAAAAGGTGTTTTTTTTTAAAAAGTGGTGGGCCCTTAATGGTACATAAAATAATTAATTGGAATACACTAGTAATTTACTGCTGGTAGTTAATACATAAAAAAAACCCACATGATTTGGTAATGGGAGAAAAATACTGTTAGATTGTGTGCAAGGCACAATATAAAATGTAGCCAAAACTTCCGGGTGGCTCTGGGCCTAGTGACCTGGAGGTTGTTGCTAGGGTAACCGGCAACAAAAGGTGCAAGTTCCAAGGGGAAGAAAAAGGGATTTTCCTCATGAGCGGAACATATTAGAAAGACGAAAGCAGAACTATGTAAAGCTAAGATGCTGGAAGAGTGAACACTGACCTTCTTATGGTTCAGATCTGGGCCTAGGTCATCCTGCATTGTCTTAGCAATGGTGTCAATGGGCAGAACAAAAATGGCTGCCTAGGCCTGAATGGACACTGGCTTTTTTTTTGGTGTGTGGAAGGTGGAAGCAGTGTTATATATATTTATATTTATATTTACACAGTAAATGAGGAGTTGCTTAAAGAGCAAGATGTGAAAAGAGGGAGCGAGAACCCGCTTGTAGTTTTCCTGCTCTCGGTGCCGCTTCCTCCCACCATCATGGCTGCTGGGAAGTGGCAGAAATGGTGTCGTCTGCTTTCCCCCCACCTCTCCTCTGTTCGCTGCTCGATCTTCGCGTGTTATGCTCGCTCCCCTGTCTCGGGGTCTATGTCCGTATCTGTAAAATGGGTGGCGGGGGGAAGAAGGCAGAATTGTGTGTGTGAGAGAGAGAGAGAAAGAAAAACCCTGCGTCACTAAGCGAAACGTGGAACTTTGGAGCGAGCTCAGGCCCTTCGTTTGCTCGATCCCTGGGTTGTCTCTCCGCTCCAAAGCGCAGAGCAGGCGGGGCTTGAACCCGTCGTCTCCTGGCTCTGAGGCAGGGACGCTACCATTGTGCTACAAGAACCCCCCTCGGCTCAATCAATCCCTCTGTTTAATCCACTCAACGGGTCTCTGCTCCCCCCAGGAGTGAGTCCCCCACTCTCCAGTAGGAGTAATTCCTCCACTTCTCCACCCCCGATTCACTGGGAGAATGTATTTCTCCTGAATTCTCAAATGGAAATGATTGTGACTGTCTTAAATTAACAGCCCTCTGGTTCTGACCTATCCCACAAGTAGAAACATCTGTCCATCGGCCGGCTGCTGAACTTAAGGCCTTGCAGGCTAGGAAAAAAATAGCCCAGTTGGTAGTTTTGATTGTCATTGACCGAGAACCCTGGCTTCTCAGCTGGGGTGGGTTGACTCACCCATGCTCCAGAGGCTTGGCTCCCTGTTCATCTCCACCTCGATCTGGTGGAGGGGGAATGCTGGGGGCACCGGGCCCTGTGCCAGGGTCTGGATTGAGTCCTGGGACGGCACGTGAGCGGCATCGGAGCCCAGCTGGTTAAACACGCTGCTCCCAGAGGGCGGCAGGCTCCCAGCGACTGTGGCGAACGAGTGCCAGGGGTCACAGGGACGTTCCGAGGGCTCCGCTGGTATGTCTGGGGAATCGGGAGAGAAGCCGGGAGTCAGTGACTGGAGAAGGGGAGACAAAATACAGGTGAATATGACGATCCTCTCGCCCAGTTTTGCTCCCCGGTTCCCAGTGCAGATCTGGTATGTAAACGCGTCACGCTGCAATGACTCCCTCCCACTGGTACTGTGACAGGTCTCTGAAGGTAGGTGTAGTATGAAAATGTGCCATGCTGCCACAATGACCTCCTACCAGGGGTGGTGCTGTGACAGGCTCTGAGGGGTGGTCTAGTATTGAAGCATGCCATGCTGCCACAATGACCTTCCACCAGGGGTGGCGCTGTGACCGATCTCTGAAGGCAGATCTGGTGTGTAACTGCAACACATTGCCATGATGACCTCCCACCAGAGGAATGGCGCTGTGACGGGTCTCCATGTGTGGATTTTATGTAAACGTGTCACGCTGCCACTCTGACCTCCCACCAGCAGTTGGCACTGTGAAAGGTCTCTGAAGGCAGAATAAAAGAAGCCTGAAAGAGCCATGCATGCTGGAAATCTGAAACAAAAGCAAATTGCCAGAAAGGGTCGAGGCCTGAAACGTCAGCCTTCCTGTTCCTCTGATGCTGCTTGGCCTGCTGTGTTCATCCAGCTCTACACAGGATTGGTTGACTAACAGGAAGCAAAGATTGGGGATAAATGAGTGCTATTCTAGCTGGCAGTCAGTGACTAGTGGTGTGCCTCAGGGATCGGTGTTGGGACCGCAATTATTTACAATTTATATAGATGATTTGGAGTTGGGGACCACATGTAGGGTGTCAAAGTTTGCAGATGATACTAAGATGAGTGGCAAAGCAAAGTGTGCAGAGGACTGTGAAACTTTGCAGAGGAACATAGATACATTGAGTGAGTGGGCAAAGGTCTGGCAGATGGAATACAATGTAAATAAATGTGAAGTCATACATTTTGGTAGGAGTAATAGTAAAAAGGATCATTACTTGAATGGTAAAAAGTTGCAGCATGCTGCTATGCAGAGGGACCTGGGTGTCCTTGTGCATGAATCACAGAAGGTAGGTCTGCAGGTACAACAAGTAATTGGGAAGGCAAATGAAATTTTGTCCTTCATTGCTAAAGTGATTGAAATAAAAAGCAGAGAGGTTATGTTGCAGCTGTACAAGGTGCTGGTGAGGCCACACCTGGAGTACTGTGTGCAGTTTTGGTCTCCTTGCTTGAGAAAGGATGTACTGGCACTGGAGGGGGTGCAAAGGAGGTTCACTAGGTTGATTCCAGAGTTGAGGGGGTTGGCTTATGAGGAGAGACTGAGTAGATTGGGATTATATTCATTGGAATTCAGAAGATTGAGGGGGGATCTTATAGAAACATATGAAGGGAATAGATAAGATAGAAGGAGAGAGGATGTTTCCACTGGCAGGTGAAGCCAGGACAAGAGGGCATAGCCTCAAGATTAGAGGGAGCAGATTTAGGACTGAATTGAGAAGGAACTTCTTTACCCAGAAGGTTGTTAATCTATGGAATTCCTTGCCCAGTGAAGTAGTTGACACTACTTCAGTAAATGTTTTTTTAAAAAAAGTAGATTTTTTTTTTTGAACAATAAAGGAATTAAGGGATACGGTGAGAACGCGGGTAAGTGGATCTGAGTCCACGAAAGGATCAGCCATGATCTTCTTGAATGGCAGAGCAGGCTCGAAGGGCCAGACGGCCTACTGCTGCTCCTAGTTCTTATGTTCTTGCACCTTGTTATCTCGGATTCTCCAGCATCTGCAGTTCCTACTATCTCTGCCAGAAAATCTCGACAGGTCTGGCAGCATCTGTGGCTAGAAATCAAAGTTAACGTTTTGGGTCCAGTGACCCTCCCTCAAATCCAACCCCACCACCAAAGACATTTTTCCCTCCCCACCCTTATCTGTTTCCGGAGGGACCACTCTCTCCGTGACTCCCTTGTCCGCTCCACGCTCCACGCTCCACACTCCCCTCCAGCCCCACTACTTTTCCCTGCAACCACAGGTAGTGCTACACCTGCCCCTACACCTCCCCCCTCCCCCATCCCAGGCCCCAAGAAGACCTTCCACATCAAGCAGATGTCCACCTGCACATCTGCTAATGTCGTATACTGTATCCGCTGTTCTCGTTATGGCCTCCTCTACATCGGGGAAACCAAGCGGAGGCTTGTGGACCGCTTTGTGGAACACCTACGCTCGGTTCGCACTAAACAACTGCACCTTCCAGTCACGAACCATTTCAACTCCCCCTCCCATTCCTTAGACAACATGTCCATCCTGGGCCTCGTGCAGTGCCACAATGATGCCACCCGAAGGTTGCAGGAACAGCACCTCATATTTCGCATGGGAACTCTTTAGCCCAATGGTATCAATGTGGACTTGACAAGCTTCAAAGTCTCTCCTCCCCCAGCCGCATCCCAAAACCAGCCCAGCTTGTCCCCACCTCCCGAGCCTGTCCTTCCTCCGCCCCCTTGACCTGTCCGTCCTCCCTGAACAGACCTATCCCCTCCCTAACTCCCCACCGACACTCCCCTTTACTGGCTCCACCCCCACCTCTTTGACCTGTCTGTCTCCTCTCCACCTATCTTCTCCTTTATCCATCTTCTATCCGCCTTCCCCCTTTCTCCCTATTTATTTCAGAATCCCCTTCCCCTCCCCCATTTCTGAAGAAGGGTCTCGGCCCGAAACATCAGCTTTCCTGCTCCTCTGATGCTGCTTGGCCTGCTGTGTTCATCCAGCTCTACACCTTGTTATCTCCCTCAAATGAAGGCAGCTCTAGTATGTAAACGTGTCACAATGTCATGGCATCCTCCCACCAGTGGGGTGGCGCCTTGACAGGTCTCTGAAGGCAGATCTGGTGTGGAACTGTTATGCTGCTATGACCTCCCACCGGGGGCTGGCGCTGTGACAGGTCTACCAAACAGCAGTGGGTATCATTTACAACAACAAACTTGCATTTATGTAGCTCCTGTAACACGTGAAAACAGGAGGTTTTCAAACAAAATTTGAGGCCGAGGCAGGGAAAAGGCATTTGGGATCAAGAAAGAAATCAGAAAATAAGGAGTATTTCACTGAAGATGAAATCTTTGACAGATGGAAGGAATGTGACACTAGTGGCCAGAGGGTGCGGAGAGGGCAAAGCTGGTAACAGATGATGTGTACAGGATTAAACTCCAGATAATCACAGAAGGGCAGCAGATCTCTAAAAGCCTTTGGAGAAACAGAACAGAGTTGGAAATGAATTAATTCCCCTCCTGATTTCCCCAAAGCCTGTCTACCATTGACAAGGTGCAAGTCAGGAGTGTGATGGATTATTCGTACTCTTGCTCTGGATGGGGGCAGCTCCAGCAACACTCTAAGCTTGATGCCATCCAGGACAAAGCAGACCGCTTGATTGGCACCACATCCACAAACATCCTCTCCCTCCGCCACTGATGCTCAGTCGCAGCAGTGTGTACCATCTACAAGATGCACTGCAGCGACCCACCGAGGCTCCTTAGACATCACCTTCCAAATTATAGATAAGTGTGGAGCTGGACGAACAGAGACCAGGCAGCATCAGAGGAGCAGGGCCCTTCTTCAGAAAATCTTCCAGACTATGACTTCTACCCCTGAGGAGGACAAGGGCAGCAGATACGGGGGAACACTGCCTCCTGCAAGTTCCCCTCTGAGCCACTCACCATCCTGACTTGGAGATGTATCAGCCCTTACTGTCGCTGAGTCAAAAACCTAGGTTTTTCCTTTATTCCTTCACAGGATGAGGGCGCTGCTGGTTAGGCAGCATTTATTGCCCATCCCTAATTGCCCAGAGAGCAGCCATATTGCTGTGGGTCTGGAGTCATATGTAGGCCAGACTAGATAAGGATGACGACGAGGGGTGGGGGGGAAAGAATGCTCTTCAGAGGGTTAGTGTGGACTCAATGGGCTGAATGGCCTGCTCCCACACTGTCAGGATTCTGTGGCACAGACAGAGGTCCTTCGGCCCGTCAAGTCTGCACCAGTCAAAAATATCCCCTGACTATTCTTGTATTTTCCTGAACTTGGCCAATAGCCTTGGAATCACAAGAGCATGTTTAAATATTTCTTCAACGGGATGAGGGGTTGCTGTCTCTCTCACCCTCACAGGTAGAGAGTTCCAGGTTCCCTCCGCCCTCTGGGTGAAAATTTCTCACCTCGCGTCTCCTCTAAAGCATCTGCCCCCTTACCGCAAATCTACACAACCCTGGTTACTGTTGCCACAACATCTCAATCGTGCCTCGTCTGCTCCAAAGTAAAAGACCCTCCCCTCCCCTCCCCACCACCACCACCCCCCATCTGTCTAATATCTCCTCACCATTGAAACTCTCTCCTGGCACAGGGAGCGACAGAGGGTGATGGCGGTAGGGAGGGGGCATAGGGGGCCAGAGGAGGGTAACAGGGGGCCGGAGGGAGGGTGACAGACAGAGGGAGGGAGTGGGAGTGGAGGAAGGGGTGGTGCTGGTGGAGGCAACAAAGGTAGGGAGTGAGAGTGGAGTGGAGGTGGGTGACGGAGATGGGGAGGTGGGTGACGGAGATGGGGAGGTGGGTGACGGAGATGGGGAGGTGGGGTGAAGGAGGGTGACGGATGTAGGGAGTGAGATTGGAGGGGAGAGGGTGCCGGAGAAGGGGGGGGAGGGGGGGGGGGGGGGGGGGAGGAAGGGGAGGGGGGGGGGGGTGGGGGGGGCTGGAGGAGGAGGTGACAGAGACTTGGGGCAAAGAAAAAGGCTGTGAATTCCAATAGGTAGGGCCAGGCTGGGAAGGCAGCGAGCGAGACGGAGGGGTAAACATTGATAAGCGTCAGCTGCAGATTAAACGGGACAAACACTGGCGAAGCGAAATGTTGACTCTGGCGCTTTGAGTGTGAGGGGGCGGCAAGGGAAGGGTTAAGCTGTTGACTGCGGGCTGGACTGCAAAAGGGAAAAACTTTTTTTTGAGGCATCTGCTTCTGCAGAAACAGATGCACGCAAAGCGTTTTCGAGAACAGGAGTGGGGTGGTGGTGGTGGTGGTGGTGGTGGGGAAGAGCAGGAACATGGTTTTTGTAGCTGGTTACAACTCCTTCCCGAAAACAGATTCTCACTTCCTCCAGACGGGGACGAGAAGTATATTAAAAAAACAACAAACACTTTGACTGAAAAGGTTTTGGGGGGCGGGGAAAGAGGAAAAAAGCAGAACCTTTCAAAAGGAGGATAAAAGTTTGTGCAGGACCTTGCCTTGTTGCTCGCTCGACACCAGGAAATGAAGTTGATCGACGTGAAATTCCATCCCTGGGCCACTTCCAGGGAAGAGGCTGGATTTATTTTCTTTCAGGATTTGACTTACTGTATGTGTTGTTACACCTCAGCTTCCTGGCGAGTTTTCGAAGGGGGCAGTGTTGAAATGCCAGTCTGAAAATGCACTGCTTTCGCCGGGTCTGCATCCTCTCGGAGCCTGCCATCTCAGGCGTGGATGTAGATCCTGGAACCTCCTCCTGCCTTGGGACGTGGTTTCTCAGCCCAGCCCCAAAAGGGAGGTTTCAGGCGGCGGGGGGTAAAAAGAGGGAATGAGGGCGGAGACAGACAGCTAAGGTCACAATTTCCTGAAGACTCCGTTCTACCCCCTCCCTGGCTTCGTGGGAGGGTGGTCCCTGGTTGGAATGATTTGTGTGCAGACACGGGGATTCGAACCCAGGGCTCCTGGGGTCTTGGCAGTTTCTTTCCCCCTTCTAAAAGTGGCCAGCTACCGTTCCCCAAAACGGGCAATCCCGGGGTGGGGGGGGGAAAGGTGCCGCACTGTCAGGGGAGGGAAGAGGGTCAGAGCCGAGGGGAGACCCCTGAGGAAGGGCGGGGTGTGGAGTTCTGCACTGTATTTTAACACTTAACCCTCGCCTGTTTCACCGAGAAACAAGCGTGACACCTTTTAAGCAGAACAAAAACAAAAGTTGCTGGAAAAGCTCAGCAGGTCTGGCAGCATCTGTGAAGGAGAAAACAGAGTTAACGTTTCGGGTCCGGTGACCCTTCCTCACAACCTTTTAAACAGCTTCGTTGTGTGCGAGCTCTGCTTTGCTTCCCCCCCGCCTTGCAGCCGCGGAAGGTGAAAGGCGTCATCAAAATGCACATCGCTCTTGCGCTGGTAACCGCTGTCTTTTTGTTGTCGGGGGGGGGGGGGGAGAAATGTTTAAATAAACACACAGGGATCTGGGGGGTCACGGTTCAATTTATTTGTCGCGTTAGCACAGGCCAGACCCAGCAGCAATTCAGAAATGATTATAAATTAAATGCAATCAGAGATAGTAGGAACTGCAGATGCTGGAGAATCCGAGACAACAAGGTGTAGAGCTGGATGAACACAGCAGGCCAAGCAGCAGAGGCTGACGTTTCGAGCCTAGACCCTTCATCAGAAAAGGGGGAGGGGAAGGGGGTTCTGAAATAAATAGGGAGAGAGGGGGAGGCGGATAGAAGATGGATAGAGGAGAGGATAGGTGGAGAGGAAACAAACAGGTCGAAGAGGCGGGGATGGAGCCAGTAAAGGTGAGTGTAGGTGGGGAGTTAAGGAGGGGATAGGTCAGTCCAGGGAGGACGGACAGGTCAAGGGGGCAGGATGAGCTTAGTAGGTAGGAAATGGGGGTGCGGCTTGAGGTGGGAGGAGGGGATAGGTGGGAGGAAGAACAGGTTAGGGAGGCAGGGACGAGCTGGGCTGGTTTTGGGATGCGGTAGGGGGAGGGGAGATTTTGAAGCTTGTGAAATCCACATTGATGCCATTGGGCTGCAGGAGAGCCAGTCCATTTCTCCGGGGCTGGAGTCTTTGGGCTCAGCCCCAGAACCTCTGGCGAGTGCTGGAGCCAGCGTCCTTTTCTTCCAGCTCGCTGGGGGAGGTGGCGAACATCTTGTCCGGCGCTAGGACGAACATGTAGCATAGGTTCACCACGACCAGACCCAGGATGGGGAAGAACGTGAGGCCGTAACCGAAACCGCGGAAGCTGCTGCTAATGGTGAATGTCACCCAGTAAATCAGCCTGAGGAGGGAGAGAGAGAGAGAGAGAGAGAGAGATGTTCCAGTAACTCACTCCTGCAAAGAAAAGCAGGCGTTTTACATTATCCCGTCATTCCCAGAGCAGGGACAGCACGGGGTTAGATACAGACTTAAGCTCCCTCTACACTGTTTTCCCACCCCCACCCCATCAAACACTCCCAGCAAGAGGTTAGATACAGGGTAAAGCTCCCTATACACTGTCTTCCCCCCCCCCCCCCCCCCCACAATTATACACTCCCAGGACAGGGACAGCACGGGGTTTTACTGTCAGCCATCAAACACTCCCAGGACAGGACACAACGGGGTTTTAGATACAGAGTAAAGCTCCCTCTACACTTTTTTCCCCATCAAACACGCCCAGGGACAGGGACAGAGGAAAGCTCCCTCTACACTGTTCCCCCCCCATCAAACACTCCCAGGGACAGGGACAGAGTAAAGCTCCCTCTACACTGCTTCCCCCCCCCCCATCAAACACTCCCAGGGACCGGGACAGCATGGGGTTAGATACAGAGTAAAGCTGCCTCTACTCTGATTCCACCCCCCATAAAACACTCCCAGGGACAGAGTAAAGCTGCCTCCATATTGATCCCCCACCTCCATCAAACACTCCCAGGGATAGAGTGAAGCTCCCTCTACCCTGCCCCTCACCAAGTGGGACTGTGAGACAGTGGAGTGATGCTGGGGAGGGAGACTGACCTGGCCAGGGCGAAGAAGGCGGTGAGCAGTGGTAGGAGTTTGAGGACTTCCTGAGGGAGGTAGGTGGAGAGGACCATGAGGTTGACGAAGAACAGGACGAAGAGGTGGATGGAGTCCGTCACAAATCGCAGGTGGATCTCCACCTCCTCCCTGCGGGGCCCGAAAGGATCAACGGCGGAGGAGCAACACCTCGCTAGGCCGTACACGATGATGCCTGTGGGCAGGAGGACCACGCACAGATTATTAACGGCTAGGCCCCAATCCCCAAGGCCCCTCACCCTGACCAATCCCGTGGGCAATGCTGTTCCCAAAGGCCCTTCATTTATCGCTCGCTTCTACTTGCCCCCCTGAGGCAGTGGTGAGCTAAAAACGTGACACGGACTAATTTAAAAATCACATCGTTTCCCCCCACCCCTCAAAAAAAAAACCCCCGAGTCTGACTTACACCATTTCGCTAAGACACGACCAGGCCTGGTGTGTAGGGGCTCGCCCCGGGAGCTCCCTGTGGTCCCCGGGGGGCCCCCCCCCCCCCACAACGATCGGGACAACGGTCGTCACGGCCAACCATTCCCGGAGCCGAGCTTCCAATTTCGGATTTTATGCATCGAATTTTAAATTCCACCGTGGTATGATTCGAATAAGTGTCGCCCGCAGCATGGGCCTGGACCCCTGCGTTTGTACCCAGCGGCGTTCACACTTTAGTCCCCATCCCTGTCACCCTCTCCCCATCTCTGTCACCCCCTCCACCCCCTCCCCCTCCCCCTCCCCCCTACACCCCCTCCCAACTCTGTTACCTCCTCCAGCCCCCTACAACCCCTCCCTATCTTTGTTACCTCCTCCAGCCCCCTACACCCCCTCCCTATCTCTGTTACCTCCTCCATCCCCGTACACCCCTCCGTATCACCTCCTCCAGCCCCCTACACCCGCTCCCTATCTTTGTTACCTCCTCCAGCCCCCTACATCCCCTCTCAATTTCCGTCACCTCCTCCAGCTCCTACATCCCCTCCTTATCTCTGTCACTACCTCCAGCCCTCTACAGCCCCCCTCCCTATCTGTCACCTCCTCCAAACCTTACACCTCTCCCTATATCTGTCACCTCCTCCAGCCCCCTACACCCGCTCCCTATCTTTGTTACCTCCTCCAGCCCCCTCCCTATCTCTGTCACCTCCTCCAGCCCCTACACCCCCTCCCTATCTCTGTCACCTCACAGAGCCCCTACACCCGCTCCCTATCTCTGTCATCCCCTCAGCCCCTACACCCATCCCTTCTCTTTGCCAGGAAAAGACAGGGTTGATAAAGATAAATTACTTCCACTGGGTTGGGGATTCCAGAACTAGGGGCATAGTCTGAAAATTGGGACCTGAGCATTCAGGAGAGATGTTTGGAAACACATCTGCATAGAAAGGGTGGCAGAGCATTAGAACTGAATTCTACACATGGCAGTGGTTGCTGGATGAGTTAACTTTAAATCTGAGAGAGATTCTTGTTTCGTGAAGATATTAAGTGCCAAAGTGACCCATGATTTCATTGTATGGCAGAGCAGGCTTGATGGGCCAAATGGCCTACTCGTGCTCCTGTTTTCTATGTTTTTGCTTGTTCATGGGACATGGGCGTTGCTGGCTAGGCCAGCAATTGTCGCCCCATTCCTAACTGTTAAGAGTCAATAACACCGCTGTGGGTCTGGAGTCATATAACGCAGAAGTAGGCCCTTTGGCCCAACTTGTCTATACCAACCAAGTTTTCCTAATCTGAGCTAGTCCCACTTGCCTGCGTTTCACTCACATCCTTCTCTACCTTTCTTATCCACGTCCCCATCCAGATACTTTTTCAATGTTGTAATTGTACCAGCCCCCACCATTTCCTCTGGCAGCTTGTTCCATACACTCGCCTCGCTCTGTGTTAAAAAGTTACCCCTCAGGTCCCTTTTAGATCTTTCCCCTCTCACCTTAAACCCATGCCGTCTAGTTTTGGACTCCCCTACCCTGGGGGAAAAGACCTTGTCTATTCACCCTATCCGTGCCCCCCATCATTTTATGACCCTCGATCAATTCACTCCTCAGCCTCCAATGCCCGGGGGGGAAAAAGTCCCAGCTCATCTGGCTTCTTCTTAAGACTTAAACCCCTCCTTGTAAATCTTTTTTAAATCCTCTCCCAATTTAACGATATCCTTTCGATAGCAGGGCAACCAGAACTGGGCACGGTGCTCCAAGAGTGGCCTCATCAACGTCCCGTACAGCCTCAACATGATGTCCCAACTCAAAGGTCTGAGAAATGAAGGCAAGCGTGCCAAACGCCTTCTTAACCCCGCTGTCTACCTGTGACGCAAACTTCAAAGAATTACGTCCCTGAAACCCCCTAGGTCTTTCTGTTCTACAGCACTACCTTGCTTTTAACATGCAAATTTGTTTCACCAAAGTGCAACACCTTGCATTTATCCAAATTAAACTCCATCACTGGGCTAGGCAGATGGAAGACAGCGGGGAACAAGGGATGCTCAGCGGTGGTGAGGCTGAGTGGCTGGATTGGGCCTAAGATGCTGAATGGGCGCCCCCTCTCCCATTCTCTGCAGTTCCTCCCCCCCACCACCTACATTTCCCCACGGAAGCGCACATGCTCCTTACCCATGATGATGGGGACGGTGGCAAAGACGCCGCAGCGGAGCGTATACATCAAGCGGGCACTAATGTCTGGCATGATTGGCACATCGAAGGGCAGGAAGACGTAAGCGCCATACAGGAAGCAGGGGTACACCAGCACGGCGCCAGCCAGGGAGGCCGTGGCTTTGAGGTTGGGCCGAGAGCAGCGGGGACAGCACGGGCGTTTGCCCATGTCACCCCCATATGACCCCTCCTCCTCTCCATTGGCTCCTGGCCACTCGGAGTCGGGAAGCGGGCAGTGGCCTGTCAGGAAGGCCTGGCGTTCAGACTCCTTGCTCAGCGTGCGGGCTACGACCACCCGCACGGTGGGATCGACCGCTGGCGGAGGAACCCACACCTCGCTCTCGGGGCCCGGCCCCTTCTCTGCTGCCACCGGAGGGGCTTGGGCCCCCTCAGCCGCCGAGGCCTGGCGCAGAGCCTTCATCTCCAGGCCCGTCTCCTCGGCGACTGGAAACCGGCCTCCGCCGGGATACTCCAGGGTGTCTGAGGTGTGGAGAAGTGGGGCATCGCCGCGCTCCAACGTTCCCGGGCTCCCGGCGGATTCGTCCTCCTCCTTGGATCCTCGCTCCGAGGCGCTGTCCTCGTCCCTCGCGTTCTGCGGCACCGGTAGCGTCCCGGACATCCCCTGCCATGAGAAAGAGAGCGGGGTGGGGGTGAGCGCACAGGAAGATCCCATATGGTGGACGGTGCGGGACACTGTCGGAGGGTCCGCGTCGAAGGAGCGGGCACTGTCGGAGGGTCAGCGCTGAGGGAGTGCCGCACTGTTGGAGGGTCAGCGCCGAGGGAGCGGGCACTGTCAGAGGGTCAATGCCGAGGGAGCAGGCACTGTCGAAAGATCAAACCTGAGGGAGCGCTGCACTGTTGGAGGGTCAGCGCTGAGGGAGTGGGCACTGTTGGAGGGTCAGTGTCGAGGGAGCGGGCACTGTCAGAGGGTCAGCGCTGAGGGAGTAGGCACAGTTAGAGGGTCAGTGCTGAGGGAGCAGGCATTGTTGGAGGGTCAGCACTGAGGGAGCAGGCACTGTCGAAGGGTCAAACCTGAGGGAGCGCTGCACTGTCGGAGGGTCAGCGCTGAGGGAGCAGGAACCGTCGGAGGGTCAGCGCCAAGGGAGCAGGCACCATCGGAGGGTCAGCGCTGAGGGAGCGGGCACTGTTGGAGGCTCAGCGCTGAGGGAGTGCCGCACTGTCAGAGTGTCAGTGCTGAGGCTGTAAATAGGTTTGGAACTTTCTACGGTTGTGAAAGGTGCTTTCGAAATGCAATCTATTCTAACAATTGTATTGCTTCAGTGATAATAAGTGGAACATGCCAAGGTGAGGATGGGCAAGTAATTATCAAGCGGTGGGTGTATGAGCTCTTGTTGACCAACTCTGCGCATTCCTCCGAACACGCTGAACAGGAAAGGCAAGAAAATCTCATGGCCCACAAAGAGCCTAGTGTCTCCCAAAACCTCACTCGGACACGCCTGTCCCTTCCAGCTTCTTCGGCATTCCCTCACCTCCACTCAGTACTGCAGAGGTAGCCCCCAGAGGGTAGCACCCCAACCCCCTCCTCCCCGGCCACTGAAGACTCGACAGAATCGGTGGGGGAGTGCTGAATGGGTCGGGATTGGAGGAACGCAGAGATCTCAGGGGAGGTGACAGAGATAGGGAGGGGGTGTAGGGGGTGTAGGGGGCTGGAGGAGGTGACAGACATAGGGAGGGGGCGTAGGGGGCTGGAGGAGGTGACAGAGATAGGGAGGGGGTGTAGGGTACTGGAGGAGGTGACAGAGATAGGGAGGGCGTGTAGGGGGCTGGAGGAGGTGACAGAGATAGGGAGGGGGCGCAGGGGGCTGGAGGAGGTGACAGAGATAGGGAGGGGGTGTAGGGGTCTGGAGGAGGTGACAGAGATAGGGAGGGGGTGTAGAGGCTGGAGGAGAAAACCGAGATAGGGAGGCGGGGTGTAGGGGTTTGAGGGGGTGACAGAGATAGGGAGGGGGTGTGGAGGCTGGGGGAGAAGACCGAGGGAGGGAGGGGTGTGGGGGCGGAGGGGGTTACAGAGAATGGGAGGAGTGTAGGGGGCTGAAGGAGGTTACAGAGATAGGGAGAGGTGTAGGGGCTGGGGAGGTGTCAGAGGGAGGGAGGGAGGGGTGTAGGGGCTGAGGGGGTTACAGAGATAGGGAGGGGGTGTAGGGCCTGGAGGAGGTGACAGAGATAGGGAGGGAGTGTAGGGGGATGGAGGAGGTGACAGAGATAGGGAGGGGGTGTAGGAGCTGGAGGAGGTGACAGAGATAGGGAGGGGTGTAGGAGCTGGAGGAGGTGACAGAGATAGGGAGGTGTGTAGGGTGCGGATGAGGTTACAAGGACCACACAGCAGCCGAAACAGGCCGTTCAGTCCTTCCTGTCCCTGCTGTTGGTTCTCTTCTGCATCTGCATCCATCCTTCTTTCATCGCGTGTGTATCCAGCAGCCCCCCAACCCCCATTTCAAAGCTTCTCTGCTGTTCACCTCTCTGACTGTTCCTGGGAGCAAGTCCCCCTTCTCCCCCCACTTCCCGTGGGAGAGATTCCCCAATCTCTTCCCCCATTCCCCGTGGGAGCGAATCCCCCATTCACCCCCACTCTCCATGGGAGCGAATCCCCCATTCTCTGCGGGAGCAAGTCTCCCTTTTCCCCCCACTCCCCATGGGACCGTGTCCCCCATTCTCCTCCACACTTTCCTTCAATGAGGTTAGAGATTTTTTTACCTTTTCTGTGTTTTTTTTTCAGATTTCTAGCATCCTCAGTATTTCCCAAAGGTGGTTTTCATTTTATTCATTTGTGGGATGTGGGTGTCACTGTCTGGGCCCAGCATTTATTACCCGTCCCTAATTGCCCCTTGAGAAGGTGGTAGCAAGCTGCCTTCTTGAACCGCTGCGGCATCCTGTGTGGTGTAGGGACAGTGCTCTTCGGGAGGGAGATTTTGACCTTGAAGGAACAGCCGATATATTTCCAAGTCGGGATAGTGAGTGGCTAGGAGGGGAACCTGCAGGGGTCTGGTGTTCCCGTGTATCTCCTGCCCTTGTCCCTCTTGGGGGTAGACGTCCCGGGTTTGGAAGGTGCTGTCTGAGGAGCCTTGGGGAGTCGCTGTAGACGGTACACACTACTGCGACTGAGCATTGGTGGTGGAGGGAGTGGATGCTTGTGGATGTGGTGCCAATCCAAGCGGGGGCTGCTTTGTCCTGGATGGTGTCGAGCTTCTCGAGTGTTTGTCGGAGCTGCCCCCATCCAGGGCAAGTGGGGAGTATTCCATCACACTGCTGACTTGTGCCTTGTTGGTCAGGTCTTCCTAACATCAGGATTGCGGGGTCGGGGGTGGTTTGTGAGTTAAATTCTGGGTTATAATCTCTGCGGTATCAATGGCTGCCCCAGAGGTCTGTCCCAGTCCTCAGTGAACTCCTCGTCACCAATCTCCTCACTGAAGTCATAGAGCCATATAGCACGGAAATAGACCCTTCGGTCCAGCTCGTCCATCCAACCAGATACCCTAAATTCATCTAATCCCATTTCCCAGCATTTGGCCTATGTCCCTCTAAACTCTTCCTGTTCATATACCCATCCAGATGTAATTGTACCAGCCTCCACATTTATATAAATGATTTGCATTTGAATATAAGAGGTATGGTTAGTAAGTTTGCAGATGACACCAAAATTGGAGGTTGTAGTGTACAGCGAAGAAGGTTATCTCAGAGTACAATGGGACCTTGAGCAGATGGCTCGAGGAGTGGCAGACGGAGTTGAATTTATATAACTGTGAGGTGCTGCATTTTGGAAAGGCAAATCAGGGCAGGATTTATACACTTAATGGTAAGGTCCTGGGGAGTGTTGCTGAACAAAGAGACCTTGGAGTGTAGGACGTTGGTAAGGCCACTTTTGGGATATGGCATTCAATTCTGGTCTCCCTGCTAATAGGAAAGATGTTGTTAAACTTGAAAGATTTGCAAAGATGTTGCTGGGGTTGGACTGTTTTAGTTATTTTCCCTGGAGCGTCGGAGGCAGAGGGGTGACTACCACTCTCTGCATGAGAAAGTTGCCCCTTAGGTCCCTTTTATATTTTTCTTCTCGTCAATTTTCAAGCCTTGAAGTCAACTCACATAACAAAAACTTGGTGTGCATTATTGTTGGTTCTGGATAGTCAACAAGAGACAAGGGATGTGTTACTCATCTGAGACTTAGAAATGCACGGGTCCCTCAAACACAACAGTTCCGGAGTTGACTGAGATAGTGTATAATCACAGAATCCCTACAGTGTGAAAAGAGGTGATTCAGCCCATTTAATTCCACACCAATCCTCTGAAGAGCATCCCACCCTATCCTTAGGATCCCACGTTCCCCATGGCTAATCCACCTGGTCTACACATTCCTGGACTCTATGGGCAATCCACCCTAACTGTGGCTCTTTAGACCGTGGGAGGAAACACACACAGACGCAGGGAAAATGTGCAAACTCCACACAGACAGTCACCCAAGGCTGGGCTTGAACCCAGGTCCCTGGTACTGTGAAGTAGCAGCGCTAACCACTGTGCCATCCAACAGTTAAGGGGCTTTTGGCTTCTGGGCAGCATAAGGGTCCAAAGGGGTAAGGTGGAAATTAACATTTGTGCTAAATTATTGATTTGCTGTGAACCCTTGTCAATGACAAATTGCTCCCGAACTCAATGCATAGATTGGGGTTTTGGAACTGCTCTGAGGAAGGGTCACCGGACCCGAGACATTAACTCTGCTTTCTCTCCACAGATGCTGCCAGACCTGCTGAGGTTTTCCAGCTATTTCTGCTTTCATTTCTAATTTCCAGTATCTGGCGTTCTTTCGGGTATTATTTTTAAGAATCTTCATCTGAACCTGTTCCTAGTTTTTAAGGCCTGTATTTGTTACTCAGTTCCTCACCAAAAATAAATTCTGTGCTGAGTGGGGCAGCGCAGCACCTCAGTGGTTAGCACTGCTGCCTCACAGTGCCAGGTACTTGGGTTTGATCCCAGCCTCGGGCAACGTCTGTGCGGAGTTTGTACATTCTCCCCGTGTCTGTGTGGGTTTCCTCCCACAGTCCAAAGCAGTGCAGGTTAGGGTGGATTGGCCATGCTAAATTGCCCCGTGGTGCCCAGGGATGTGTGAGTTAGGGTGGGTTAGCCATGGGTTGCAGGATAAGGGTGCGTATGGGAGGGATGTTGTTCGCAGGGTCGGGGTGGACTCCAAGGGCTGAATGTCCTGCTTGTAGGGATTCTCCAAGCACTCAAGGCCCGGGCATCTAGCTAACCTTTCGGATTAGGCTGTCACAGGTGAACTTTGCTATTTGACCAGAGGAGGCATCACTTTGGCAGAATCTGCATAGCCCTCCCCTCCCTCTCTTGATTGGCTAACCCGACAGCCCAAGACACATCCACCAAGGCCAGGGTGAAACTGCTTTTGGGTAGACAATGGAAGGGAGGGCATGGGGGGAGTCCCTCTTGTGATGCAGTGTCCCTACCCCTGGACCAGGAGTCCCACCTGCCCCAGAGCTAAGTAGTAACATCTCTGAACAGGTTGGTTAGAAAAATGCATTAAATTTTAAAACTGAAGGGAGGTGGAGTGTGAATTTCAAAGGCTTCTGTGTTGCAGTGGGTAATGTCCCTCCCTCT